GGGACCGATAGAAAGGGTAAATTTCATACCTGATAACGCAGTTGGGATATAAAACTCTGGCTCCCTGCGTTCCCGCACAGCACCGTGGCAGATCCGAGTTTATCAAACTTTCCAAACAGCTTCTGCAATCTCGCAGCGACAGGTCCGGCGTGCACTGGGCAAGACAATAAAGCTTCTGATACTCGTCTATGTTCGTTTCCCTCGTGGCGAACTTCTTATCACCGGTGGGTTCATCGGCTGCGTCATCCGCAGTCTTGTTGAGGGTATCGTACACCAAACGCTTGAAGCTTTCTTGGTTGGTCATGTTGATGGGGCTCGGCAGGACATAGCCGGCGCTCATGGTTACGACGGAGAAGAAGGATCGGTTCGAATACCGAACTATGCACTGGTCGTAGTACACCACCGCTGCTACGGCCGTGGAACAGTCTTCGTGTGTGGATAGCCTCTGTGTTCCGTTTCCGACACACTGGCTACATAGGTCGGAGGGGATGTCGCCTCTGCACATGAAGAGTCCGTACACTGTGTCGGAAGGGTTTGTCTTTGTTCCTGCGACGGTGTTGTTGAAGAATTCGACGCTGTTGGAGGCTTCGGATGATAGAGAAGAGAAGAGGGTTCTGAGGTTGGTTTGGTAAGTGCTGTTTGGAGTGAATTTGTTTGTTGAGCAAACTTGGTACTGATAAGAGAGGCTCTGTGCTTTTGTGGCAGTAAAATTGAGGGAGATTAAAAGGATCAAGGGTATGACATATTCGAGATACGAAGCCATGGATGTGGGTTAATTAATGAGTCTAGGGTTCTTTGAGAGCACTACCATGGGGATGATAACTGATAAGGTGGAGAAACTATTCAATGGAAAATAGTGAATTTTGTTAAAGGAATTTCTTTAGGATGCCCACAACGGACCGAATCCCTTAACTCCATACAGAGATCACCAAATCATGATGTCTTTTTCATAATATATATTTTAAGAATTTATTTATATGTACGTTATCGCGTCAGATCTTGTTATTTTGTTAAACGATTGAAGTTTTACTTTTTATTAAATAACTTTTATTTTCTATTGCTTACTTCAGGAAATGTTATCACTAAAAAAATATTCTAGATATCAAATTTAAATTTTAATACGTAAACAAATTAAAAAATATATAAATATAATAAGTAATGCGATGTGATAAAAGTAGGGACGGAAAATTGTCAATGGTTCGTGGGGGTGGGTAATAATAAACTCGTTTATGTCCTGTTAGATAAAAATTGGCATCATACCTAATCCATATCTATGTGGGTATCTATTAAGTAGATATCTATGAATATCTTGAATACCCACGAATATTTATAATTTTTTTAAGAAATTAAAAAAATTATATTACAAATAATTTTAAGTTTATATTTAATGTCTTTGAAATATTAAAAGCAAAAATTCAATGTTAATTTTGAACTTGTATTTAATGTTAATTTTGTTGAAATAATAATAAAAATGTAAGATAATCAAGAACTTAAAATATATCAATCTCACAGTTAAGTTAAGTCTCATCACAAAGCTATAATAATTCAATTTATAAGTCCAAACAAAAGTAAACAACTTAAAATACATAAATTTTATTGGTCTAATCAAAGCTAGAAAATTAATCAAATTACATCCAACATAATTCTATAACATGCTTAACACATGTTGGTAACTTCAACCTCACTTTTGTAAGAAAATAAAATGAGAGAGTGTAGTTTTAGGGTTATGTGATACAAAGATAATTAAGATATTTAAAAAATATTATTAAACGGGCACCTGCAGTACTCACACCCGCCCCATTTATAAATGAATAAAAAATTATCCATCCTCATTATTCGCGATTACCCAATTAATCTATCCATTTATTATCCGTAATGAATTTTACCTACAAATACTTATAAGTGCGGGTATTTTCGCTATACCTAAAAGAGAATAATAATAATAAAAATAAGTGTTGTAATATATGATATATAGATGTTTACTCTTGTTTTTATATATACAAATTTTATTACTCTCACTTTACAAAAATAATAATAATTATTACTATTTGCATGTAGTTGTCATTATAAAATTAAAGAAATATATTATATATGATAAAAATTAGTCGATTACGGTAATTGTAAAATATTTAAGTACTCCATCCAAATTTCAAAAGTGTGCTCCACGTATCATTAAATGGATAAGGAAACCTCCCTAAACAACTGTACAACCAGAAAATTGTCCACATATTGCACTTAAGTCATCTGAGAAGAGTCAAAAGATATTTAGTTTTTCCTTTTTTTTTCTTTTTCTGCTGAGTGGAACGACATTAATTTAGTCTGTCTGTCATATTTTATTTTCTTCCGCCTCCCAAACATACATGTCATAGAAAAATTTTTACAAGTAAACGTTACTAATACATTTTTATGACACTTATTATATATTAGATAAAGTTTATATTATAATTAAAGATTTTTAACAAAATTTTATATATTAATGATATTATTTTAAAAATTTTATAACATTTAAATAATGCTCGTTAAACTTTTATAAATTTTATAAAATGTTAATTAGTTTTAATATAAATGATACCATCACTTAAATCTTATATCTCTTGTTAACAAGTTTTTTAAAGTTAAAGATATTTTAAGTTAATTATCATCAAATTTATATTACATATCAAAATTTGAATTATACTATTTATGTGGCATTATTTTATTAGATGTGAGATTTTAATTATAAGAAACAAATATAAAGAACAATATTAAATTTAATAAATATTATTTTATCTATAATAACATTTCTAATAAATAATTATAATAACTTATTAATTTAACTTATAATAATATTTTAATAAATATAAATAGATAAATATTACTTATAAAATATTAGTGTAAAACTTGGATTTAAAATCGAAGTTTTAAGATCGGTTATAAGGTAACCGATCTTAAAAGTAACGCAGTGACAATTTTGTAAATAATATGAACATTTTTAAGATTGGTTCAAATTTAACCGATCTTAAAAGTACTTTTAAGATCAGTTATTTTATGACCGATCTTAAAAGGTATGTCTGACACAACTTTTCAGATCGGTTACAAAAGAACCGATCTTAAAAGTACTTTTAAGATCGGTTATTTTATTACCGATTTTAAAAGTGGTACTTTTAAAATCGGTTATCTCAGAACCGATTTTAAAAGTGCTACTTTTAAAATCGGTTATTTCAGAACCGATTTTGTATGTAGTATACAAAATCGGTTCTTAAATAACCAATTTTAAAAGTATTGTCAGAAACCTTTTATATTTCCCTCCAAACTCATTCTCTTTAATTTTTTCCTCCATTCGTTTTTTTACTCTCTTGCGCTCTCATTTTCTGAAGAGGTAAATTTCATTATTGTTTTCGTTTTCATTTTCCTCTTCTTGTGTCTCTTTTTATTTTCTCATACTCTTCTCTTGTCTCTATTTTGATTGTAGGTGCATTTTGGAAAAATTTTGAACCTGGAATGGGCCGTGCTGCATGGAGAACGGGCCGTTCTGAAAGGAGAATGGGCCGTTCTAATTCCAGTTCTTCATTTTGCCTTTTTCACAATCTGGAACGGCCCGCTCCAGTTTTGGAACGACCCGTTCCAGTTTAATTTTTTTTTCTCAGCCAGTACTTTTAAAATCGGTTATAAAACAACCAATCTTAAAAGTTTACTTTTAAAATTGGTTATTTAACCGATTTTAAAAGTCTCTTTTAAAATTGACTCTTTTAAAATCGGTTACAGAACCGATTTTAAAAGTTAAAAATAACCAATTTTAAAAACCTTTTTTCCACTAGTGAAAGTTAAATATAGTAGTGATTTGACATTAAAAAAATATCACAGATAGTTATCGTCTATTCATTTTTATGGTTTAATTATAAATTTTAATTTATTAATAAATCTTTAAATTTTTTTAATTCTATTAATCAATTTCACACTCATTATAATTAAGTTTTTATACCATCTTCTATATTAAACTTTAATTTCTTTTAATTAAATCATTAAAATTTTAAGATGAAGTAAAAGGTAAAAACTGATTATATTTAAAAGAGTTTTTAAGATAAAGTTTTAAAAGCTTTTATTTTAATTTTGATTTTTTATAGACTACAAGTATATGTTATTTGAGACAATTTTACTTGAGCTAAATAGAATTATTATGAGTGACAAATATTTATTTTTAATAGTATTTAAGTATTTTTAAGTTTGTTCCCAATTTATTGGTTCTAAGTCTGTCATGAAAGCCAAATGCACTAGCTCACTACCAGATGGAACGACACCATCTAAGAACACTTCATGATCTACAAGTTTGCTTGAAGGAAATCTTAGTCTCTGTGATTTTCTCTCTTATATTGTTGAACAGTAGGAATTGAAGTATTGAGTTCAACTTGTTCATCCCTTTCAAGTTCAAGTTGAACATTAGTTCCTGAATCTAATTTATTCTCCTAGTTCTGTGATGATGTCTAATCCGCAATAACATTTGAGTTAATAAGAACCTTCCTTTGACTTGGATTGTATAGCTTGTATGCTCCTGTTGAGTGATACCCAATCAACATAAGTGTTTTACTTTTGTCATCTAGTTTTCTCCTCTTTTGATTCGGAATGTCCCTACAACATAGGAAACCAAAAATTCTCAAATGATTAACACTTGATTTATGCTCATTCCATGCTTTCTCGGGGGTACTCACCATCTTTATTCTCCTTTTAGGACATCTGTTCAAGCATACGTTGTAGTAGATATTTCCTCTCCCAATAGAAATTAAGCATTCCTTTTCCTTTCAACATATATCTTACCATATCAAGCAAAGTTCTATTCTTCCTTTCAACCAATCCATTATGTTGAGGGTATAGGGAGCAATCACCTCATGTTCAATACCCTTCCTCTAACAAAAATCATGAAATTCCTTAGAGTTATATTCTCCAACTCCATCAATTCTTAGAATTTTCAATTTATGACCACTTTGCCTATCAACCAATGCACAAAAATTCACAAATATAGAAAACACATCAATTTTTTCTTTAATCAAATACAACCACATATTTCTAGCGAATTCATCCACAAAAGTCATGAAATATCCTAATGATAAAGTCTCAATTGGGCCACACACAGTTGAATGAACCACTTCCAATGACTATCTTGCATGGAAAGGTGCACAAGACTTGAAAGCTTTCCTCGATTGCTTACTCATAAGACACCCTTCACAAACTGGTTCTGGTGGTTTAACGAAAGACATCCCAATCACCATTTGTTTCACTCCAAGATGATTCAAACTTTTAGAATTCAAGTGTCCAAATTTGAAATGTCATAGCCACCTCGCATCCTTAGTATTTTTGGATAACAGACACTTACACCTTTGTTGTAGTTAGATTCACTTTGAAAGTTTTGTTTTTGTACAAAGGAGTATTTAACATCAATCTTTGCTTCAAATCAAATATCTCTATGATTTTCTTTCATACTCACTGAGAAACCCTTCTGTAGCAACTATCCCAAACTAATTAAATTGGTTTTCATTGATGGTACATACAAAACATCAGTCACATATAAAGATTTTCCATCCTTCCTCTTAATCACAACCTTTCTCATTCCCCTTGTTGTAATGGTATTGTTATCTATAAATTTCACCTTATTCCTAACGTTAGCATCAAAATCAAGCAACTAATCTCTATGTCTTGTCATATGATTTGAACAACTTGTGTCAGGATACCAAGATTTAGAGTTATCACCATCATAGTCTATGGTTACCATCAACAACACTTTATTGTAATTTGACCCTTCATCTTGAGCAAGATATACTTTACCATTAAATCTTCATTTTCCTAATTTGCCACTTTTGCGTTCTCTTGCAAATGCCTCCAATTTTGCCAATTATAACACTAAATTTTCTTCTTAATTATCAAACTTCTTCTTTTCCTAAAATCTTTAAGATGGACTGCCCTGTTGTCTATTTGAAGACTCAATTTGATCATATTAAATCTAATATTGATTTTGATCTTTTGATGAGTCACTAGCTTCATGACTCTTGCCACCTTTCCACTTGCCTTTTCCTTTCTTGTTTCAACCACTTGCACCTTTCTTCTTGTATTTGGTTTGAGCTAGTAAGATTTGTTCCTGAGTCTTTTCACTATTCCTCCTCTCATTTAGTCTTTATTCATGAGCTTCAAGGGAATAATGCAACTCATCTACCTTTCTGATCTCAAGATTTTTGGATTCCTCAGTTGCCACCATAATATATGATCAAAATGAGGAGTCAAAGTTCTTAGGGCCTTGTCTATAATTTGTTGATCTGTAAATTTTTCATTACAAGATTTCATTGAATTAACAAGGGCTTGAATTCGATTAAAATAATCTACTATGGACTCTTGATCATTCATAAACAATAACTCATATTACCTTCGAAGAGATTGAAGCTTCATCTTCTTCACTTTATTAGGACCTTCATAAGTTTTATGCAGAATATCCCAAGCTTCTTTTGTCGAACTAGCTAACAAATTTTTTTAAAAATTTGCAGAATCCACACAATGATAGATCAAGAAAATAGCTTTATAGTCTTTCTTCTTTGAATCTCTATAAGTTACCTATTGCACCTCTGTATTACCTTATTCCACTTCTTGAATCCTGTTCTTTACAATCTCCAACAATTCTTGGAAACCAAAAATGACACCCATCTTCACACACCATTGGTCAAAGTGTTTGCCATAAAACACAGGTAAGTTGGCAGGGAAAGCCCTACAAGAACCATCTATGATTCACCCTTCCAACACCATGCAAGAAAGTAGAAGTACTCACACAAGGATAATAAAAACTCACACAAGAAAAAGTTTCCCTCACAATAGAACATCTTGAAACCTAGTGGGTTTCACACACCACCCATAGGTCTCTCACAATCAACAAGCTCTAATACCAATTTATTAGAGATGACACGCACAAAATGCACACACTCGTGGTAGAAAACATAGGGTGAAAATTGAGTAGAGAAAAACTTTATTCTCACACTTGTGTATTACACATGATTACTTATCCCTCTTATTAATAAGCAATAATGCAAACATGTATTTATAGAGTACATTGAAATATGATATAAACATATAATACTGACATACTAAGATACACATATGATACCTACAGATTATATCATTAGACTATACCATCAGATGATACCATCAAACAATACCATCAGATGATAACATTAGACTATATCATCAGACAATACATGTACAAGCTAAGCCTTCAAACTATATGTACAGATAATATATGCAAACTATACATTTAAATTATAATACTCAACAATTATCAAATAAATTAACGAGGATAAAAATTACTCATGGACATTTCATTGATAGAAAATTGTTTGCAACCATTAGTAGTTTGGTTGGAACTTGATTCTTGTTTTCTAGCTGTATCATAATCCATTCTACGACTGTACAAGAAAAAGGATGGTTCTTGTGGAAATGGCAATTCAAGTGACAAATTATTAAGATACGAAATAATTGTTGCCATTGTAGGTCTCATGTTTGGATTTTCTTGAACACATAATAAACCAATATGAATGCATTGGAAAACTTCCTTTTGTGAATAACTTTCTTTTATGTGTGAATTCAAGATGCATAATAGGTCTTTATTCTTCCATTGTCTCCAAACCTGTAATAGTTAGTCAAAATAAATGTCAATATTATCACATTTATAAAATCAAAAATTAATTTAAATTTACATTATTATATACATACATACATATATATATATATATATATATATATATATATATATATTTTTAAAAAAATCTAAAATGTCTCACTTACATAAGCTATGATGCCTTCCTCTAGATTGTGTGAATCATAAAATTGTGCATTCCTTTTTCCAGTAATAATCTCAAGAATCATGACACCAAAACTAAAAACATCTGATTTCTCAGAAAATTCTCCAAGCATTGCATATTCTGGTGACATATAACCACTATAAAAAATTATGTGTTAGTTCAAACATAAAATATACAAAAGTGAAATCTAGATGAAAATATTTTGTAATGAGAAAAACTTACTATGTTCCAACAATTCTATTAGTATTTCCACGATCTTGATCCATTTCAACAATTCTAGCCATGCCAAAATCTGATATTTTTGGGTTCATATTTTCATCTAATAGAACATTACTAGGTTTAAGATCACGATGTATAACTTTAAGTCGTGAATATTCATGTAAGTAAAGAATTCCTAAAGCAGTTCCTCTGATAATTTTATAGCGCTCAGACCAACTTAACTTTTGTTGTTGAGTACCTGTAAAGATTTTTCAATGATTGTAAGAAACAATTGAAACATATTTCGTATAAATCACTTTAACTAATTAAAAAGAGTAAAGTCAAAAGTATCAAACCATATAAAAGATAATCAAGGCTTCCATTCGGCATGAATTCATAAATAAGAATTTTTTCTTGCTCTTCTAGACAAAAACCTATCAATGCCACGAGATTTTTGTGTTGTAGCTTGGCTATTAATAAAATCTCATTCACAAATTCAATTGAACCTTGTTTAGAACAAGTTGAAAGTCTCTTTACAGCTATATGTCTTCCATCAATTAGAATACCCTGAAAAAACAAATAATTATTATTGAAAACATGATCGAAAGGAAAAGAAAAATTATCACAGTTTCTCACCTTATAAACTTCTCCAAATCCACCTTTACCAATCTTATTTTCGTGTGAAAAATTATTTGTAGCTGCTTTAATTGTAGTCAAATCATATTGCAATCCCTCTACAATGGTACTTTCTTGACCAACTACATTAAAAAAAAAAAATTAACTTTTGGTACTAATTTTTCAATTTTGTTAAAATTTATAAATTAATAATTACAGATTGAAATTTTTTTAACTACAATCACAATACGTACAGTTTTTTCTAAGAAGTTTCTTGTAATTATTTTTTCTTGTTTTTGTCCTTCGCAAGTAGCACCAAAAGGAGAGGAGTGTCGTCGAAGCAACGATGAGGACACCAATACCAATTAAGATAATTTTTCGTGCCCAACCTGTATGATTTCCTGCATTATAAATAAATACGCGTCATCAAGACACCGACAATAATTGGCAGAGAGAAAAAGTAATATTTACTTCCAATAATCATTCAATAAAAAATTATCTTCATGGTAAATTTACTAATTTTATAATAATTATCTTAAAAATTATATTAATATAATTTTTAATTAATTAATTAGTGGTATAATTTCATTTACTTCAACTAACTATTTATTACCATTAAATCAATCGTTAATAGTTATGATATATAAAATTAGTATAAATGTCTATGTATAAGAAAAAATAAAAAGTAATAAATATTACGATAAATACTACATATATAAAAAATATTATTATAAATATAAAAAAAGTAAGTATAAATTTATTTGAAATATAATTATATATAATTTTAATATTAATTTTAAATAAGAATTAAACACATATATTATGTGTCATTATAATTTATACTTATATTTTTTTAACAATATACTAATATATATTATATGTATAATATAAATAAAAATAATTTTGAGTGACAAATATTATGTTACTATATAATATATAATACTATATGACAAATTTTATTATTATTTTTTTTTTTTGTAGCGAGCAAAAATTATAAAGTTCGTGTCCGTTTTACCTTGTTCTCTATTGGGGTGTTTCTAATAAGATTAAATATTTGCATCAAATAATTAAAACACTTAATCGTATATATTAAAGTTATACTATCATAATTATATATTAAAAGGCAAATATTAGAACTATTTGGTTAAAAATAATCTGAAATATTTATATTCAAGTTTAATGAATTTTAGTAATGAATTTTTTTGGTAGATAACTTTATAAATGATTATTTAATCGATTTATCAGAAGAGCCGATTTTAATTCATGAAAATAGATATTATACAGTGATAGGTTTCAATAACTTTTTTTTAATTATAATATACAGTTACTTATCTGATGATATTTTTTTTAAACTATATTATTATTATTATTATGAAGTAATATAAACTTTGTTTGAAGAATCATCCCAAATTTGTTAGTTTTTTATTTATAACTTTTCTTTAAAAATAATTTTAACATATTTTGTGGCTCTTATCCGCATAATATCTCCTGTAAGAAAAAAACTGCGTAATACCTCAGTCTAATAACATAAATAGAAACAATTTATATATTAAAACGTGAAATTAATTCAAATAATGCACTAAACTATAAATATTAATTGTTTCACATTGTCATTCAAATCATAGATTATGGCAAACAGTTTTATAATAAATTTGAATTGCTGATATTATATATTACAATTAATTATATACCCTTAATTAAACGATTGGTTAAATAAGTTAGAAAGTTGAATAAGCAGGCGATGTAGGTGTATAAATATTGATTGAATGAGAAGGTCACCTGTAGCTGGCCTGAGCGGCTGAATTTGAGGAGCATATCCATCAAACGGGGACAATCCAAACATCATATAGCATTTTGGATACAGTACTCTTCCCTCTGGAATCTTCATACAACACCATGGCATTTCGTTGACAATGTTTACTAGACACTGGGTGCAATCCGAATTATGCTGGTCTGGCGTGCATTGAACAAGAGTATGGAGAGTTTGGTGATCATTCAGTTTTACTTGTTTTTTCCCATAATTCTTAATGGTACTGCTATTGCCGTCTGTGTCATACTGCAATTCATTTAAAGTAGTCGCCAAAGTCCAAGTGAAGAAGCTTTGCAGCTGGTTAGGATTGGAAGTATAGTTGACGATATTCAAGTGCTTATATGCAGGACTTGTATCTAGTGCGGAGAGAGATGGGCGATCGGAATAATGAAGCAAACAGTGATTGTACCAAATGATAGCCTCTTTGGAGGAGGGGCACTGCGAGGATATTGTTTGGGTTGCATTTAGGACACATTGGTGACAGAGAGTGGGGGAGAAGTCCCCAAAGCACATGAAGAAACCAGTGAGAGTGTGGACTTTGGTCTCGAAGAAACCGTTTTTGGTGGTAGAGGAGTTGGAAGAAAAGTACGAGAGGAGGGCTATGAGACTCGATTGAAAAGTGGGGTCGGGGATGATGATGGGGGGACAATTTTTGGAAAGATAAGTAGAATGTTGTGAGTCTGTATTGGAAGGATTTGTGAGCGGAACGAGTTGTGTTGGTGCCGCAGCGGTACTGGGGCGAAAGAATGGGTACCAATCGCACTTGAGATTACAGCTGAGATTATCATACTGCGGTAAGCCTCCTTGACAGTTCTTTGGAACATAATCGATGGCAACATTTAGACATTTTCTGCAATCTCGGGGTGACAGATCTGGTGAGCACTGAGCTACACAGTAAAGGGTCTTAAATCCAGCCATCAATGCTTGCTTTGTGGCGTACTTCTTGGCACCAATAGGAGAATTCGCTGCCTCGTCTGCCGCTTCGTTAAGCGTTTTGGAAACCAAACTCGTCAAGTTTTCCTCATACAAAATGCTGCATGAACCTCCGGGTGAACTTAAGTCAACTGTGGAGAAGAAAGAACTGTTGGAAAAGCGAATCATGCAGTCCTCGTACTTAAAATATGCATCAGTGGACAAGGAACAATTTGCATGCGAATATGTGCCTGAGAGTATTTTTTTGGTGGCGTTAAGGACGCATTGGGTACAAGGGAGAGGGGGGACGTCACCCGAGCAGAAGAACATTCCATAGGCTGTGTGGGAGTGGTTTGCAGTGGCGACTGTGGTGTTGTAGTATGGATTGTTATTAGCGGTGGCGTGGGAGGATAAGTCAGAGAGAAGGCTTCTCACGTTCGACTGGAACGAGCTGTTTGGCGTGGTTAGGTTCTCAGAACAATAGAAGCCCGAAACACCATGGCCAACCTGTGCTTTATTGGTTACGAAATTGATAAAGCTGATAAGGGTAAAGAGGTAGTAGACAAGCTTGAAGGAAGCCATGCTTATTGCTTAATCTTCGGTAGCAGTTCCACCACTATGCTATGGTTTTTGCAGTTTATATATTGCAATGGCTAGCATAGACGACCCAACTCAACGAAACATTGAGTCAAAATCTTTTGGAATCCAAATGACTCTGCAGTCAACTATGGGTTTAGAGTATTCCCTGCAATTATTTTTTTCCTTCACCTGCTCGCTGCCATGTTTCCTTGAATTTGCCTTTCTAGCACGATTACATAAAAAAAAAATATACATATCATGCGATTATGTGGGGAATAAAAAAAAGTTATCGACAAGTTAAGATTAATCACATGCGCGCCAAAAGCAATATATATTAATATGCGGTATCGGCTGTATAACTTTGACCGGTCAGTCTTTCACTTAATTTCTGCCCAATATTCATCTAATTCTATACATCTTTTTCAGAATTTCGTAGAATTCTGTTTTTTCTTTTCATATACAGCACAATTTTATATATTTACCGCACTTTCTTAATTATATATATATATATATA